ATACAATCATCAATATGGTGGCCATGATCTCTATGGTATTCACAATACTTTGTGGGATCTCTCTTTGCTAGGTCTGCTTTCATCCGAGGTGCCCATCTTAGAATCTTCTCGCTCTGCACCTTATATAAGATCTGAGATATCGTTGCGGTGAGTGGGGGAGCTACTGAAGTGCGTACCTTGGCTGTAGCTTTGGCTGTGGTAGACCTAAGCGATCTCTGACATCTCCCCTCCTTTTAGGGGAGCGATTTTTATTCCTTCTTGGAGACCTATCACGCCCTCTTTCTCTTCTGGGACTTCGGTCCCTTCTTTTTTTCCTCTTTCCCTTTGTCTTTTTGCGTAGATGAACTTTCCACCTTTGAGAGGAGAGCTTCTTCACCGTTTATGTATTTTTCTGCCTTAGCCAATACCTCAGCCATGCTTGCCCGAGGGTTCTTTGAAATAGAGAACATCAGATCTTTGGATTGTACGCCTAGACCAGTTATAAACGCTGTAATGACAAACTTCTCATCTAGGACATCTACTTTCAGGGACTCTGAGTTGAACCATTGGACATAAGACTTGAGGTTCTCTTGAGGTCCTTACTTCACGTTCAATAAGTGGTAGCTCGACTTCCTGTATATTCGAGCTCCTATGAAGTGAGATATGAAGAATGTAGAAAGCTCTTTGAAGGAGGACATTGAGGCTGGGGGGAGCCTATTGAACCATGTCAGGGCTGACCCTTTTAGCGTGATGGCGAAGGCTCTACAGCACACTGGGTCTTGGTATTCGTGGAGCTCCATCTGGTTTTAATAAGTATTTAGGTGGTCCACGGGGTCCTTTGTCTCATAAAAAGCTTCTATTTGCGGCATCTTGAATTTTAGGGGGAAGGAAAAACACAACACGGCTGCGGTGAATGATGACTCAGTTTGCTGCACCAAGGCATCTATTGTAACTAGAACCTTGTTTTTCACAGCGTCGACCATATGACTGAGCTCTTGCTGGATGCCATTAAAGCGTTGCTCCCAGTACTACTCTCTCCTCTCCTGTTGATAGGGGAGAAAATCATTCCTTTTTTCCCCAACGTTTTGACTTTGCATCTCTTTGTTGCATCCGTTCCTTGGGGGTGGATGAGGATCTTGTCCCCAGGTCTGACGATTTTTCCCTCTTTCACCAACTTCTCTGAGGGGGTCGAGATGTTGTTGATCTCTATAAGGGGGGTTATTCTGACCTTCTTGGGCCGGTCGTGCCTCCTCAGGGCGTTGCAAGAGCTTCAGGAGCTATTCATTCTATTGTATCAAGTGCTGATTTACCAGGCGAAGGGCCTCCATCTCATTATTTGAGTTGAGATTCCCCATGGGAGGATTTGTGTCTGGGACGTTCTCAGGCTGACTGTCGTTGGTGGATTCCTATTGTTCTTGCATCCATGGTAGATTGGTCTTCTGCTCATGTTACGAGTTGAAATCATCAGTCACTAAAAGATCAACATATTTGTAATAGGAACAATCGTTCCCACAGACGACGCTAAACTGATGGTGTAAATTAGTGTGGATGAGCAAAGGGAATGGATTTCACTTGGCAACTGGGATCTGAGCTACGAGGCTTGTGTAGTTCATGTTTAAGATTACTCGGCTAGTCCACTCTTCAATAGAAATTCTTGCTCCTTTTCTCTTTTCTAACTATTCAGAAGGTTTACAGGATAGAACATATGTTACCAGGGTTCTCCCCTTGTTTTGGGAGAGTTACATAATATTTATAGGGTTGTTTCTAGTTCTATGAGATCTGCACTGAGATCCTCACTGTTTATCTGAGGAACTCTCCTTAATCTTAGGAGAGGATCTTGGCTAGTTAAAGATTTTTTGCCTTGAGTATGACTCTTTGCCACCTAACGGATTTCTGTTGTCATCCAGCTGTCTCCTTATCTCTTTCGCTGTTAGCGCATCTGGGGGGAGAAATCTAGTTCTAACCTGAGCTCTGCGTGCCTTTCTTGACTTCTTATCTAGATCTGCTTGTCTGACCTCTTGGCTTGACCTCATGGTTGGAAATTATTCTGAGTATCATCCAACTAAATCGAATTATTCAGTACATCTTGCATTCATCCTTATGCTCAGTTGTATTAATAAACATCATCACTACTAGTAGTAGCTAAATTGGTATATTACCAAACCACACCCCTATTGCAACAACTATAGACATAGGTATTTTAAGAATACGTCTTAACGACCAATGGTTAACAATGATTCTGGTGAATGATTTTGCTAGAATAAATAATGATGAGATTATTGTTTTAATAAATGATGTGGAAAATAACAATGATATTGATCCACAAGAAACTCAACAAAGTCTTAGAATAACGGAAATTAATTTGAGAAAGTTGAAAGAAGGCGACAAATAATTAAAGTTTCATTAAAATAATAAAAATTAGAGTTACAAAACTAAATTTATTTCTTTGATCCCCTAGTCAAGTTGTGTGATCTATATAATTGGTTTTTTTATTAGCTCATGGATCTATATAACTAGTTACTTGTTGAACAAATAGTATGTTAAGGTTGCAAAAATTTAAATAGTATAGATCAATGGCTGTGAGTACAAGATGTCAAATCAACTATTACAAATACTTGGCGTTATGATACCAAGGGTCTAGCTCGTCTGCTGTTAGCAAAAAACAGCACACTATGCTGTTAAATGAAACGACAACGTTTCATTGATTTAAAGTGAAACGATGATGCTTTGTTCTTAAGCACTCTCCACTTCCATCCGGGTTTCAACAATCTCTTCTCCTGCCTCGCTGACTGAGTTACTTCCAGTTTCTGCAATCCCTTCATTGTGCCCATCCACTTTTTTTCTTTCTCCCTACAAGGCTTTGCTCCAATTGTAATGTCCACCGTCTTCATTCTCTGCAATAAGCTTCTTCAAAACCTTTCCTCTTGTAACAATCATAAGACCTTCAGTACCCACCATTTTGATTTTACCCAGAAATTTGTAGTAAAATTTAAAAGAGAGAGAGAGAGGAGAGAGAGAAAGAGACAAAATCATGGGTCTTGAGTGTGTACAGAGATTGTGCAAGGGAGTGCAGAGAAAGGACTTCTCTTTTGGGTCTAAATTCGTCATTTATTGATATCAAACATACATATAAATTTGAACGGAGGGATAATTTTCACTGATTGCCAAACTACAAACAAGAAGATCACGAATTTGGATGCAACATGAGTTATCACCGAAATCTAATTCATCAGTGTCTGTTAGGCCTTTTCTCCATCTGCTTCAACACTTGAACTTCCCCATTTATTGACCATGAAGCTTGATTTTATACCCCGTTCCTTTTTGCTTCAATGAGACTCCAAACAACAAGGAATCGAAACCCCATTTCTACACTGATATTGGTGATTGGTAGTTGATACAATCGAGAAATCGAATGAAACATAGTGAAGGTGGAGGAGGATGAGTTCTCTGGTAATGACACAACGGAGTAAAAGACATAATGATTGACAGACTCACCTGAGACTAGGGGGAAGATCATTTTAGAGAGAGAAGCCTTTATGTTTTGGAGAAGGAACCTCCCCTCTTGTCCGTACCTCAGAATCTTAGTAAAGACTTTCAGCACTTGTTTTGGGGATTTATTTTCTTGTGCAAAACTAACTAAAATGTCGGCGTTTTAATTAACAGCATACTGTGCTGTTTTTTCCTCGTAGTAGAGGAGCTGCGCCCTGATACCAACTACCAGCTTTTTGGTACTGAAGTCCTCACTGAGAGTACAATTTGAATAAGTTAAAAGATCAACTCGAATTCAAAATTTTAGCGGAGTTGAGTTTGATTATGACTCAAATCTTTTTCATTGAGCGCCAACGATTTTTCCAATGTAGGCCCCTTCAGAGAATTCTTTATTGGAATAATTGCTATGATTACCTTCTAACATAAATTTAGTTTCCTTATACCTTTTTTTCACCAGCTAAATAAAAAAAAAATCAACTCAATTTTTTTTTTCCTGTAAATACTCAAATTCAACCTAAGCTCTAAAATATTTATTTAAGTATAAATTTAAATTCAAACAAAAATTTACAGGTTATCCAAATATTTAGTATCTTGGTTTGCCATTATAACCGTCTCTAGCATCACCACATCAGAAACTTGAAAATTTATCCAAAAAAGGAACAAAATTTACGCTTGAGCCACCCAAGTTAAAGAGTAAATATGGAATCTAATAATTATTATATCATCATTATTATATGTATTATCAATCCCTACTGTGTCCATAATAAAACAGTAAAATTTATTAAATTTATTTGATATTCTATCATTACTTGGTGGAGTGTCATAATTACATCTAAGATTGTTTTCAAAATAATGTTATGTACACAATCACGGATCTAACAGCTCCTTTTTAATTTGATTTAAGTATGTAACTGTTGATCCATAGATTTAGTACATAAAAAATTATCCCTTTTTCCAAGTTGAGACTATGGTCCCACATGTCAGGAGAGCATCCCCGACCAATCAAAGGCTCGAAGTCACGCTCAGTTCTCTGACACGTAAACAAAAGGCGTCACCAAATCCTATACATCATCTCTGAGAGCATCTCCTCACACACTCTATACTGCACCGCCTCACCAAATCCTATTCATCATCTCTCTTCCCCTTCCTCGCACCTTCATCAAGAAACACTTTGCACTTAGTTACATTGCACATGGTGCGTAATGCGCCTGATCTTCATTTCCCAACACTCGCCTCCTCTGCTTCCCCAGTATCAAACTGCAAGCTCTCATCTTTTCCGGTGTGCGTTCCCTAAACCAGAAATAACTCTGATCTCTTTCTCACACACACACTCACTCACACACATAGACAACCGATATATACAGCAGCATATCTACATATTCCAATACATACACATTTCAATCTCTCTCTCTCTCTCTCTCTCTCTCTCCCTGTTATATATAAATCGATCCAGGCATACGTTCATATAATTATATACTCCCCCCGTCTTCTACATCTGGAAACCCTAGATATCGCTTCGGATTCTTAAAGCAATGTCGACGCGATCTGTGGTTTCTATTTCCATGGTTTTTATGCTCATGGAATGTGTTGTGGCGGTGATGTATTCGTCGAGGCTGATTCATAGGTTCTCGGACGAAGTGAGGGCGCGAAGGGTTACTTGGAGGAATGGAGAGGTGAATAGCTTGTGGCCGGAAAGGAAAAGCTTGGAGTACTGTCGGATGCTTGCAAGTAGTGATTTGCAGAGGCAGAAGATGAAGCTTGGTCCTCAGTACCAGTTCCTCTTTCCGTCTGAGGGAGGCAAAACGATGTCGTTTGGAAATGATTTCGGATGGTCAGTTCTCTTTTCTCTCCTTTCGATTAGTTCTGCTGCTGTATTAATTTTTCTCTTCGAAAGTGGTTTTCAGTTCAATACTCCATGTGTGAGTGTGTAGCCAGAGATAGGGAGATAGAGACAAAGAGAAGGTGGTGGTGATGGTTATACTCTTTATTAGTGCTAGTGTGGCCGTTTTTGATTTTTTTTTTTTTCCTCATAGACTTTTTTTTTTAGTTTGTCATACTAAGACATTTATGTTAACCATGCTGAAATTGGTGTAAATTGGCATAAACTGCACACGAGTCTGTATGAAATCAATTGGGGCACTTAGTATCTATTTTGGAAATTATTTTATAAATACTTGGTTGAGAAGTATTTGTTGGTTGCAAATGGGAAAAGTTCAAACTTCGCATTATGGTTTTATTTATTTTGATAAACAAGTTAGTTACCCTGTTTGACTCTATAGACCTTGACCCAAAAGTTATGAAAGAAATTCTTTGTTTTATAAGGTTGGGGTCGTAGATCAATTGCTAATATAATATCCTTCTTTAGCACAATATGGGTGTATTTTTGCCGACATCATGGAGATTTTGCATAAATTCGATCATACATATAACTCTAGAATGTTCTAGTGACAAAGTTGAAGATTCTTGCATTACGGAATAGTATAATTACACGGTTATTCATGCTACAGAACAAAGTGGGATTACTATCATAATTGATAATAGTATACTATTGTTAGTTACTGAGGTAGAGGGTTGCATACTTGGAAGTCAATTAATTATGTTTTGCTTCCTTGATATGCTAGAACTTTGCCATGTTGAGCTCCCAGATTCATATTTCATGCATTTTGCTTATACAGGTTACATTACACCTGGATTGATATAGGGACACCAAATGTTTCTTTTCGTGTTGCACTGGATGCCGGAAGTGATCTACTTTGGGTTCCATGTGATTGTATGCAATGTGCTCCGCTATCTGCCGGTTACTATAGTAGCCTGGTATGCCAATCTTTTCTAGTTTGACTTTGGATATATAGAAGCACTATCGTATTGCAACTTGATGAATATGTCCAAAAAGATAATGCAACTGATTTAGTTCTTCGGTTTCCAGATTATGATTATGAAGCATTTCACCTAACAAATCTTATTATTGAAATTCTCCACATAGTTACCACTTTCCTTTACTAATTATTGGTTTAAGTGTCTTAAATTATTTGATCTGTCTTGAAATAGGAATGCACTAGTAATTGCCTATACTTGAAGGCACTGCGCAATTAATAAAAAAAAATGCAAACAAGTGGCCGTATAACCAAAAAATAAACTTAGAAGCATCGCCAATCAATATGAGTCACTACTCTTTAAAAAAATGATAGAATTTTACTCTACAAACATGACCATAGTTGTTAAAATTGTCCGATTCGCAAGTTGAATCGTACGAGTCAGTTCGATTCATGGGGTGGGCGATTCGAATCTTATGGGTGAATCAATTTGGGTCTGGAATCGGAAGTGAATCGCACGAATCGTACGAATCGAACCGAATCGGATGTATCGTCCGATTCGTTCTCTTTTTTTAAACCCACATAGATGATGTCGTTTTGATTGCGTTGGCAGTCAAATGACGTTGTTTTTTGCAAGAACCTAGGCCCTAATAAATAAGTATTCCATCTTTGTCTCTTTCTCACTTTGCCGAAGAACGTTTTCTGTGGATGGAGACCCACCACACCACGCTAAAGCTTCATCGGCTCTGAGGTATGTCTTTTCCTTTTCTTCTTTTCTTGTTCTTCTTACCCACAACCAAACAGTAACAGCCTTACAACATGCCTTACGTCTTCTTCAAGTTTTACTCTGTTTTTATATAAGCTATGCTCTGTTTTTTTTATTGTTGTAGTTTTTTAGTTTCTTAATTTCTTAATTTTTGTTTTTTTTTTGGTTGCTGTGACCTGTGGGTGAAGGATTTTGCAGTTATGAATGTGGGTTTCTGTATTAAAACAATATGAATGTGGGTTTCAAATTTCAAATGATGTTTTGGTTTTCACTTTAGCAATGCTCTGTTTTTTTAATGTTTTACTGAATTTTGTGTCGAATCTTACGATTCACAATTTGATACGATTCCCGATTCACAAATTTAAGATTTCGATTCACAATACGAATCTCGATTGAACAACTATAAACATTACTCTTTAAACAATATCAACCTTGTTCCATGAACGTGTAATTTTCCGAATGGTATGCATTAGTGATTTAATATTCAAATAGTGGCAAACAAAAAAATCACCATACAATTAATAGGATCAACTAAATATGAGAAAAAAAGAAAGGGAAAGCAACTAAGAGATGAGTTGCAACCAAAAATAGAACAAACATCATCAACATAGCCCAACTCAATCAAAACTATCCGAGTAATTATTCTACCACTCTACTAAGAAATCACCTTTTTAATTGTTATAAAAAAAAAAAAAAACATGCACTTGGTTGAATTATAGGACTATGCTTAGGTTCCTATAGAGTTAGACACTTGTTAATGGTTAGTGCATCATGAATAATTTCAATCCAAAGGAGAATATATTTCCTTGCCTACACTCACCTGAACCAAAATAAAATACACCAATCCCTTTAAACTTAGCCAACTATCTTTATAGGCCATTTGATTTTGTATCAATTAGCTATTATCAATACTTTTAAAATTCATCACTCGTTGATCCAATGCACAAATTTAAAAAAAAAAAAAAAAAAAAGGAGAAACAATAGGCTAAATTTATGTAAATCCTCAAAATGAAACCACTAACCAAATACATCCAAAATCCTTCCATTGTATACTTGTCTTAATTGTCATGCATCCACAAAGTCGCACTATCAAATCATTTCATGAAATCTAGTACAATGAATTTGCCACCTCTAGAATAAAATTAAGTTTACACATTTCCTTTATTCTCCTAATACTTCAACAAAAGTATTATAGCACCACTAAAAACAGGGGAGACATATTGTACCACTAAAAAATTCAAATTTAGCTTTCAAATCCAAGTTCCTGAATTTGTTTGAAATAATCCATGTATGGCTAATAGAAAATTCTAACATAAAATTACCTTTTACACTATACCCATTCTTTGCACATACAACATTCAAGTGTCATTTATTTGTCCTCTCAGTTTTCGGGTTTCGATAACAATCATACCCTTCTAAAGTGGCACATATAAAAAAAAGGAGAAACCAGCTCTAAAAGTCATGAATTCTTTGCTTTTCAGAAACTACATTTCTCTTGTAGAAATTTCTTGAAGAGCTTTGTCCAAACAACCAAAGAGTACAACTATATAATTTTTTTCAATACACCAGAAAAATCACGTCAGTAATTTTAATGCAATATTCAGCTATCCAAAAGTTCAAAATAATTAAATAAACTGCCTTTTTTCATACTTTTCTTATCCCTAGAATGCAGGCTGTAGATAAATGCGCATATTGTGATAGACTCCTATATGTGGAGTCAAGCAGTTTACGGGATACCTATGTAGTTTGATTAGTACCTCAGCGTTTCAAGAGCTAGCAATGTTTCTTTGAGCAATGACAAGATGACTACAAAAAAAAATGACTCCATAATTCATCATTGACTCCAATGTTTTTACTCCAATAAATGGCTATAGGTGGTAGAAAACCACCAATAGCAGCACCTCCCAACTTCAGAATTACCACAAACTACACACTGATAGACAAATATAAAAAAAAATAAATTAGATACTCAAAAGATCTACCCATATCATAACCCATTTCGTTTATGCATTGCTACTATATACTTAGATTGTAAAAAACGCATATGATCTTAACTGGTCATGGTCCAAAATGTTTGTAAGATCAAAAAAGTTGCAACAAAACAAACAACAATAAAAACAAACTATGTTACATATTGAAGGTAGGTTCCAATATAACAAAAGCAATAACACTATGTTAACACTATAAAATTAGAATGTAACATTATATAAAAGCAGTAGCACTATGGATTTAACAGTATAATTTTTACATTTAGTTACACTAATGCTTGAGTTCACAGATATCAAAAAAATCAATAAAGAGAGAATATAATTTATAGCTTGAGTTAACAGTAGCACATAACAAAGGTACACAGGAAGGATCACAAAACTACCTAGAAATAGTTAACATTGTGACAATAGAAGCTTGAATATCAGATAAATGTATGTTGAAAAAGCAAAAGATATTTGCATGGATGAGGTCAACAATAATAGACTAATAAAATCAATTTAAAGCATACATGAAGATCTTAGTTTCAACAACCACTTATGAAGTCAACAATACTAGATTTTGCAAACTCAACTTGGACTTGGATCAATTCCTAAATCTAGAAATAACTAAATTTGATAAACCAATCTTAAGATTTGCAAACACACATGTCCGCTTGGTGCATTTTAAAAAGCACAAACAACAAGTTCATTGAGCATAAGTAGAGGGTCGAATGCACTTTCTAAAATAAAAAATATTGGTTTAAAAATTTATTGAACAGGTGGTACACAGGGTCTTGGGAGGAATAGGAAGGGCCTGTGGGTGAGGTTATGATGATGGAGAGAGTGAGATGATTAGGAGAGAGAGAAGATAAGTTAGAGGGATATCAGAAATAAGCACCGGTACTGGCGGTGGCTATGACTGGGCAACTGTTGGTTGTTGTTGGTGGTGGACGTGTAGCGGTGTAGAGAGAGAAGATATAAGGGGCAGTTGTCTCTGACAGTGAATTGAGAGAAAAGATATGCATCACTGCTGGCTGTTGAAGGTTTGATTGTTGGGATTGGGTAGCGGTGTAGATAGGGAAAAGGTTAGAGAGAAAATAGAGGAAGGTGGATATGGTCATGAACGGATAGGGGAGTGATCATGAGATAGAGTGAGGATTTTAGGGCACAACCATAGGCTTAGTTTGGAAAGCATATATTTAGGGGGGGGGGAGAGAGAAGATTTAAGAATGATAGATGGAAATTTAGTGTAAAAGAGTTTGGTTAGACAAAGAGATAATGAATAGATTTTAGTGCGAGCCTTGGGGAATGATTGAAGGCTTGACTAAGGGTAAGAAAAATGGAAAGTGGCATAGGCATAGGCTGGAAAAAAATATTTCAAGACTTAATTTTATTTGTCGGATTGATAAATTTGAGATATCTGAGTCGATTTTTATGTTGGGATAATATAATCCATTGGATATGTTTTTGTTTTGTCTTAAAACGATCTGAACTGTTCTTTGTCTTTGAAATTCAAAACTCCATCTATGTTATTATACAGATAATTAATAACAATAGATAAGTGTTGGAAAAAGAGCAATTGAGAGCCCCTAATGAATGAAAAGCATTTAGATATTATTATCAACCTAGGAAGTACGAATACTCGTCGGGGGGTCGTTGTGGCAATAACACAGATATGCGTGGGATATGGCTGGACATGTCTTCGGCACCTTTGGAAGTGTCCTGCATAGTATATATGAATTTTTTTCAACTGGATATAGTTCGGATACGTGGGGATACGACATGAATTCTTATTTAAAAAATTGGGGGGTCTTAAACAAAAAACAAAAAAGAAAGAGGGGACGTCGTTTTGGGGCTAGAAAGCCTTCGTTTTCCACTTTCCACTATTAATCGCAATAGAGAAAGAGAAGAGAATGTCTAGTGGGGGTTGAATTTCCACCAAATTCGCTTCGACAACAATGAGAAGAGAAGATGGAGTGGGAAGACCAACTTGTGACTTGGAGTCTCAAACAAGGTTACCTGAATCGTGGGTTGCTTGGGTATGGATACCTGGTACGACATTTTTTCAGGCATGTGGAACGATAAGGGTAGACTTAGCTGGTATATTATTTTAGGTCACAATTCGTTTTAGAACTCTTATCTAAATTAGTTTTACTACTATACAACATTATATGTTACAGAACATCCATAATCACAAAGTTAGTTACTATTTATCTTTTATTTGTGCTTGANGTGGTGGACGTGTAGCGGTGTAGAGAGAGAAGATATAAGGGGCAGTTGTCTCTGACAGTGAATTGAGAGAAAAGATATGCATCACTGCTGGCTGTTGAAGGTTTGATTGTTGGGATTGGGTAGCGGTGTAGATAGGGAAAAGGTTAGAGAGAAAATAGAGGAAGGTGGATATGGTCATGAACGGATAGGGGAGTGATCATGAGATAGAGTGAGGATTTTAGGGCACAACCATAGGCTTAGTTTGGAAAGCATATATTTAGGGGGGGGGGAGAGAGAAGATTTAAGAATGATAGATGGAAATTTAGTGTAAAAGAGTTTGGTTAGACAAAGAGATAATGAATAGATTTTAGTGCGAGCCTTGGGGAATGATTGAAGGCTTGACTAAGGGTAAGAAAAATGGAAAGTGGCATAGGCATAGGCTGGAAAAAAATATTTCAAGACTTAATTTTATTTGTCGGATTGATAAATTTGAGATATCTGAGTCGATTTTTATGTTGGGATAATATAATCCATTGGATATGTTTTTGTTTTGTCTTAAAACGATCTGAACTGTTCTTTGTCTTTGAAATTCAAAACTCCATCTATGTTATTATACAGATAATTAATAACAATAGATAAGTGTTGGAAAAAGAGCAATTGAGAGCCCCTAATGAATGAAAAGCATTTAGATATTATTATCAACCTAGGAAGTACGAATACTCGTCGGGGGGTCGTTGTGGCAATAACACAGATATGCGTGGGATATGGCTGGACATGTCTTCGGCACCTTTGGAAGTGTCCTGCATAGTATATATGAATTTTTTTCAACTGGATATAGTTCGGATACGTGGGGATACGACATGAATTCTTATTTAAAAAATTGGGGGGTCTTAAACAAAAAACAAAAAAGAAAGAGGGGACGTCGTTTTGGGGCTAGAAAGCCTTCGTTTTCCACTTTCCACTATTAATCGCAATAGAGAAAGAGAAGAGAATGTCTAGTGGGGGTTGAATTTCCACCAAATTCGCTTCGACAACAATGAGAAGAGAAGATGGAGTGGGAAGACCAACTTGTGACTTGGAGTCTCAAACAAGGTTACCTGAATCGTGGGTTGCTTGGGTATGGATACCTGGTACGACATTTTTTCAGGCATGTGGAACGATAAGGGTAGACTTAGCTGGTATATTATTTTAGGTCACAATTCGTTTTAGAACTCTTATCTAAATTAGTTTTACTACTATACAACATTATATGTTACAGAACATCCATAATCACAAAGTTAGTTACTATTTATCTTTTATTTGTGCTTGATTTTTATTATCTAAAATAATATATAATTATAAATCTATATACATGTAGTCAATTAATATGCATTTTATATTTGTGCTACATATTTGAATGCAAGTTGATTTAGTATTCATATTACAATTTCAGATCGTATATTTTGGTGATTTAGATCGCGAACTCACCCTGTTTTGGATCGATGTATTTAGATCGTGGGTCGTTACGGGTTTAGTAAATTTTGGTAGCCATTGTCTCAGATCTATTGTTGCGAGTTTCAGATCGATCTTGATTTCTGTATGTCTGTCTGTCTCTCTCTCTGTGAGCCAAAGATATCGCTAAAGAGTTCAAAGAGTTTTTTTTGGGTGGGGTGCGTGGGGGTCTGGGAAGTAGAAATGTGTGGTGGGTTTTTAATTGGGTCAAGGACTAGGGAGTTGAAATAGTTTTTTGGGGTGACCAGTTAAAAAGAGGGTTTTTATTTTTTAGTTATGAGGAGTTAAGAGAGTTTATTATTATTACTATTAATTATAATATTTTATTTTATTATTCTATATTGGTAGGTTGTAAATAATGTTTTTTATTTTTTTTGGTATTGTTTATTTTAAAGAGATTGTATTTTTCATTAGTTATTATATATATATAATATTATTTTAATTAATCGTATCTTTGTCGTACCCGTGTCCGTATCGTATCGGATATGATACCTATATTCGTATCCGTGTTTCATAGTTATCAACTTATGGTTCACGCAATTTATTATTATTTGTTAATTCGCAATTCTAAATTGGTGAAATTGTATCGATGCTTATTTCAAACCATGGTTTAAGGTCGTGGTATTAGCCATTGGCTCGTAGGGCTTTGATATGCTTCGGTCGTGGTGTCTTGTCGCATAATCAAACGATACAATTCAAAAGAAAAAGTTGAACATGACAAAAGATTTAAGCCATATCGCGGCGTCGCAAAACTGTTGCTGTTGATTCAGTGATGATAACTCGGTGACCTAGAACATTTATACATAATATGTAATGGTATTTGACTCGGCAGGCTTGTATCGTTATTGATTGACAATTTGAATCTTGTTTAAAAGGGGAAGTACATCTAACTGCCGTGTGTGTAAGCAATGAGGCTTACACTTACAGATCTTGATTACTTTTAAAAATGGCATTTTTTTCATGTCCCATAAATGCTGTAAATTTTGCAAAGGGATGAATCAACCTGTCTGGCTGTCGTTCTTCTTGGCAATTATTTACTTTGCAATATAATTTGAACATCACTGAATTTGTAATGTCAATTCTCATCTCATTTCGTAGCGTGTTGCAAAAAACTGCGAGTGTCCTAGTGGAGTCTTTGCTAAGACATTGTAATATGTTTGTTACTTCTGTGCAAGGTTGATTGGCCAGTGCTCCCTAATATATGATGCATTGTTTGCACACCTATATCTGAAATTATTTCTTATGCTTTTCTTACTAAGGTGTTGGCGAGTCTCTACTATCATTTGGTAACAGGTTTGACACTTATTTCCAATGATTGATTGGCAGGTGCTCCCTTGTATTTGGGGCATCTATTATGCAGGATAGGGATCTAAATGAGTACAGTCCATCGGAATCAAGCACCAGCAGGCACCTAGCTTGCAGCCATCAGTTATGTGACCTAGGTGCAAATAGCAAAAGTCCTAAGCAGCCATGCCCTTACACTGTTAACTACTATTTGGAAGGTACGTTGACTTCTGGTTTGCTGGTTGAGGACATATTAAATCTTGCATTGGGCAGTACTGATGTGTCCAATAGCTCTGTGCCCGTTCCAGTCATTATAGGGTTTGTGCTATTGGTCTTTTAGTTCCATTATTGATGATTTTCTTCACTAGTTGTTCTGAAGATACTTATTTTTGCTAGCTATTTTTTAAATTTAGACGCGGTAGTAAGCAAAGTGGTGGTTACTTGGATGGAATTGCTCCTGATGGTCTTATAGGCCTGGGACTTGGAGAAATCTCAGTTCCAAGTTTTCTTGCTAAAGCTGAAATGATTAGGAACTCTTTCTCCCTGTGTTTCGACGAGGATGATTCAGGGAGGATATTCTTTGGGGACCAGGGTTTAGCTATCCAACAAACTACTCCATTTCTTCCTTCAGATGGCAAATAGTATGAAACTTCTGTGAATCTGTGGCTTTATACACTGCAAATATCATTTAGTAGATGGCCAATTTTCGACAGGATTTATTGTCATACCTGTTCTGTTTTTCTTCATGGTTTTTCAATCGACTGATGTTGTGGCTCATTCATGGTCCAGTATTACCCACGTTGTTGGAACAGAAGCATGCTGTATTGGTAGTTCTTGTCTTGAGCAGACCAGTTTCAAAGCACTGGTTGATAGTGGGTCATCATTTACATATGTTCCGGATGAAATCTACAAAAGAATTGTTCAGGAGGTACATTATTCTGTCACTGCAGTCTATGATGTCAATTTCCTGGTCTAATAATGTTTCATGTCGTTATTGTGCTATAGTTTGACAGACAAGTAAATGCTACTAAATCTAGCTTTGCAGGGTATCCTTGGCAGTATTGCTACAAGTCCAGGTAATTGCTCAGAGAGTGAGTGTATCCTGAAATTTACCTACTCCCTTGTTTGCACTTCCATTTTATGTACTAACATTGATTGCCTGATGTGAACAGTTCTTGAAAAATGCCAAAAACTCCTTCTGTGACACTTAAGTTTGCATCAAACAACAGCTTTGTGGTCCATAATCCTGTTTTTGTGATCCATGGCACAGAGGTAAGTGTTTTCTTCAAATTTCTATCAACATGGCTGCCAGTTATGTGCTTTCAAGTAAGCACCATTTTTTGTAATTGTCATCAAGTTTCTAGACTTGATGGATTGTGATTGATTTTGAGCATCTTCACAGAGATTATTGCATTACAACTTTTCCTAGTTAAAAAGTGCTTATAATGCTTATTAAGCATGACAAGCTAACATCATATTTAGCTTTTGTGAGTTTTCCTATTTGTTTGGCCAGTTGTATTTCTATTGCATACTAAATCTAATGTGGTGGTCTTCATGTTTCAGGGAGTTGTTGGATTTTGCCTAGCCATACAGCCAGCAGATGAGGATGTTGGGACAATTGGACGTAAGTCTACAAATATGACCCTTCCTTCCCCCGAAACATCCCGCCCACAAATATAAAAAACATCATTACTTGACTTTTCAGTGAAATAAAAGAATAAAATTTCTGCTTGCAGAGAACTTCATGACAGGATATCGCATGGTATTTGATCGAGAAAATTTGAAACTGGGTTGGTCAGGCTCCAATTGTGAGTACACATGCTCTGGACAATATTTCAACACTGCACTTTGTAGATTATGTGTAATTTTATGTACTATACCCAATGGGCTGGTATCATTCATGTCAGTTGGAATCCTTATAGCAGGTAACTGTTTGTGTGGTTTATACCCGCTGAAGACGAAGTGTGTTATGGGAGATCTGTCCTTTATTTATAGTTCTTTCATTAACCATTGCGGAATATGGTGTATTTGTTTCATGTCATGTTCTTAATGATCAAATTTCACCACTATATGAATTGATTCACTCTAAGGGTCTAGTTGATGGGACTGGTGAACCACATGAGCTGGCTGGTTAGATGCATGGGGCAGGGGGCTCATGATACCCGCCTTTTTTGATCCATCATTTTCTTTGCTTCGGTGGTGAATCACGTCTAAAAAAAAACAAAAAAACAGATCAGCTTAATTGAATGCAATGTTGAACGTACAAAATACAACCTACAAACTGGAACTTGAAATGTGGGAGTTTTTCTGTGAAATATGCCATGGAAACTGATCCATGTCTCAGCTGGAGAATCAACAACTTTGTCTTGTTGATGTTATTGGGGTTTTCTTTGTGTCATGTGTCATGATGCTGTAGCTATGTGCCCCTGCTATATAAACATGGATATCAGCCTTTTTTTTTGCTTGCTCTCTTCTTTTGCATGTGTGGTATATGCTTGATTAATTGGTCCTTAGGGAATCATTTTATATACCTCCTGCTTACTTTGCTCATATCCTCGTGCCTAAGATTTTATGTATCTTTATGTTCATCATGATTTTTTCCTTGCAAATATGCTAATGCTGGGAACTATCATGAATTTTCGCACAAAATTTGCTGGTTAACAAACTATCAGTAGACTCCTGTGGATTTCATTCTGTGAATACTAAGAAACAACATCAAATGATTACCAATTGGTTATATTGAGTAAAAGGATCACCTGTAATGTCCTCCTCACTAATCATTCCTTGAACTGCAAATTGTCTGACATACTGGAGAGTCTTCAATTATATGGTTTATATTAGCCAAAGCATCAACGATGCTATTTGACTCCTTATAAACATTACATGACCAATCTTTGCTATTTCAAAATTATCTAACATACTTGTGACTACTCTTTATGGGTAGTATGTCACGATGATTTTGTGGGTACTAGGTTATGATGATTTTGGCTACTGTTTCATGTCACTAACTTGGTGTTGATGTTATAATTGATGTTATGTTAACCTCCCTGATTTATATTTAAGGATGTAATACGCATTTCAGGTCAAGATCTTGGTGATGGTAAGAGAATGCCGCTGACTCCGCCTAATGGTAGTTCCCCTCTGTTGCTGTATAGAACTGTCTCATACCTTTCAAGTTGGGCACTGGCATTGCCCAAGAGAGTAATATTGTATCTCTGGTCCTATGTACCTATTTCCCCATAGAGTAATACTTTGCATCCCTACCAAACGGTCCTTTGGCAGGGTTGCCTGATAAACACAAGATTTCTTATGTTTGTATTTTATTCGTTTTCCTTTATTTGGTGTAATGTGCTGTATTTTACTATTATCACCTTTGTGATTCGTATATTATTCTCCATTTTGGCTATCTGTATGCGTTGTTCCACAATATTATTATCATTGTCCCTTTCTTCTCTGCCAGAAGAAGTGCTATTCATGAATGATGTTGCTTAAAGGACCGTTTGGTAGGGTGGATAAAAAAATGAAAGAACAGAAAATGAGAGTGATACATTTTTTATTTTAAGAAAGAAATTTTTGATTTCCTCCTTTGTGTTTGGTAAGAGAGACGGAAAGTTGGAAAGATTGATTTTTTTTTTTTGTTGGTAAGATGGAAAAAATATATTTTTATATTTTTTAAAATTAAAAATTAAATTTTTATTTTTATTTTTTTGGAAAAAATATTAATATATATTTTATTATTATGTATATATGAAATTAATATATACATAATGTGTAATTAATAAATATGATATATAGATAAATAAGATATATTTTAACACAATTTTTTATTCATTTTTTCTCTTAATTTTGGAGGGATTAATTTTAGTGATTTAAAAAGAAAGTTTATCAATTTATTTTTTTATTTTTCTTATTGTCTTTTCTTATTAAATATGATGTTTTATTTATTTTTTTAATTTTTTATCACTTCAATTTTTTATCGTACCAAATGAAATATTAGACTCAGTTTGTTTGCCGTCTTAATCTTAGTTGGTTTACGTTCAATCAGGCCGAAAACTTGCTGGCAAATTCTACAAGAGAAGAATGCTGGGTTTACTGCCTCGACATCACACGTGACAGTTGTATTTGTCGTCTCCTAGTCGGCTCAAGTGTTGCTCATGTTTTTCTTTTGCAGTGCCAGCAACATTTGGAGGTAGTTAGAATTTGAGGGTCTTGATGAGTGGAGTAAGGTGGTTTTGTTTGACTGATTAAGGAACCGTTCATCCCTAGGCACGATCTGATGGCGAGCTTCATTATCCGTATGACGATTTCCTTTCCTCAAGGAGTAGGTTGAATAAATAATGATTGCATAAGAGGGTAGTGCACAAGGTTCTTGACTGCCTATGTCGGGTTATGAGAGAGCCATGCGTCTGTTTATAATTTCACTGATACTCTATTTTATATGATAGAAAAATAAAAAGATAAAAAGTGTGAAAGATAAAAAATTAGAGAGGTAGATAAAAGTAAAAATTGGGACTGAATCATTCTAGATGGACTTATAATAACTTGAGTCCGTCAAAGAAACTTGTTTGATGATAAATTTATTTTTTATTTTACTAATAAGTATTTAAGTTTATTTTTTTTAAATCCCAAAAATATCCTTAACAATGTTATTCTGTTTAATTATTGAAACCGTAAAGATTTTAAAAAAAATTTAAATTAATTTCTTAAATTAGAAATTATTATCCCTTAATTCACTCTTAAATTAAAATTAAAATTTATATTCTCTCTCTCTCCCTCTCGTTAGAAGAAAATCATCACTCTAGTACAAACAAAATTTTTTCCTTAGAAATAATTTCTTCCTCCATAACATCAAAATCAGTAGGGTTTGAAACATCATCAATAACTACCATATTTTCTACTGTATTATAGTCATCATGAACTTCTATGTCTTTGGTTTTCGAAAACAAAAGTTGGAAAACTTGTTCAATGTATTATGAGTTTGATCCCCAATTTTATTTTTATTTTTTTTAATAAATAATCCCCAAAATTTTTCAATGTTTCATGTTACTACGTTTTTTGTGGACCATGTTACTATTTTTTTTCATGTTACTATTTTTTATTGAGCAATGTTATTACTTTTTTAATGTTATTTTTTTGGATGCTGAAAAAATTGAAGATTCTTTCTCTAGTTATGAGTTTGAATGCTACTATTTTTTTTTTTAATTTTGTTCAATGTTTCATATTGCTATTTTTTTTTGTAGTGCATGTTACTGTTTTTGTTAAACATATTACTATTGTTATTTTTTAAAAATATTAATTTTGAATGTTACTATTTTTTTATGTTTAAATCTCACTATTCTTTTTGTGTTTAAATAATATTATTTTTTGTGTTTAAATGATAATTTTTTTTTTGGGTATTTGAATGTTTCTATGAAGTTTTTAATTTTTAATTTTACTTTACTTTTAAAGGGAATTGATAGTTTGGTAAAATTGACAAAGAATAGATTTCACAACAAATAAGTTTTCTTGGCGGACTTAAGTCCAAATAAGTACATATAAGGGAATCGGCTTCCAAATTTTCTTAAATAAAACATCATGTTTGGTAAGGAAAGAAAATAGGAAGATGAAAAAGTGGATGAATGAACTTTTTTTCCAACTTACCAAAATCAATTCCTCTAAAATCGGAAGACAAGTGAATAATTAAAAAAATAAAAATTAAAAAACATATATTTTTTCCATCTTAGTTAGGGGTGAAAATTTTCGACTCAACATGGTGGTACTATTTGAAATCGATATGAATTTTATGATACGAACTTAATTATAATTTTACACGAACTCAAAAATGAATTGACACACAAATAAAAAATATAAACGACTCATATTCAGTTCAACTTGTCAAATTCAAAATTGACACCATCAACCTGTTTAATTAAGAATAAACTCTTTCTTTATTTTCTCGTTTTTATGTTAACACGAAATTTACATGCTTAAGTAGTATTATAGACATAAAATATTAATTATTTGTAACTATTTATTAAGCACTGTCATAATTATTATATAAAAAATATATTTACTTATTATTATTATTATTTAAGTTTACTTTTGGTTTGTAGAAATAGTTCGAGCATGAATTCAATTAAGTAAAAATAGAATATTAACATTAAATTTTTTATTGAAAGTTTATATGGGTCAACACGAATACAAACATAATACGAAAATAAACAGGTCAACTCGACACGATACGATTATTTAAATGATTAGAGTTAGATTTGACTAATGTTCGACACAAACATGCAATTACTTGATACAAATTTGACATGACACGACTCAATTGTCAACCTTATTCTTAGTAAACACAAAAAAAAAAAAATATATTTTTCATCCATCTTACCAAATATAACGGAAGAAAAATGTATTATTTATATTTTCCTTTCTTGAATGATAGGAAGTGTATCCCTTATACTTTTCATCCATTCTACTTTCCATCATTCCTACCAAACGGAGCACGATAATTTCAAGAGCTTGATTTTTGGACTTAAACTAGAAGTATATGAATTTGGTAGATAAGAATTTTTTATGGTTACAAGTTTGATCTCTTTTGAAACCCATTGAAAAAAAGAGTGAGCAAATCCAAGAAGATTCCATAACCTAACATCCTTAACTGGGGCAGGTTTTTTGTCTAAAGGCAACATTATTGTTTCTTGATATCTTTTATGTTTGTTTGTATGTGTGTGTGAGTCCAGAGACACAGCCAAGATTCCCAGAATTTGTTGGAACTGATATAATGCAGAACTTGTATAATATTCATGTTAAGCTCTATTTCTAATGGGACTTGATTAATTGTTTGGTATGGTCGTATACTATATGTAAGAAAACCAACTTGAGCAATGATAGATCATGGAATTGACCACCGAGTAATGGTTCGACCATTCTTAAATGACTATTTTAAAGAGATGTGTTCTTCAATAAAAAATAAATGAATAAAAAAAGCATTCTTCAAGTTCTGTGGTTGGGTGCAAATTTGCATTATAGTGTAGTGGTTTGTCTGCTTTGCATTACAAAAACCATTGCACCTGACAGGTCACTTTGTCACAAAGTGCCTGTCCTACCTAGCCAATAGCTGGTTCTAGTTGAATAGCTAATAAGTATAATTGTACTGAATGGATTGACGCCATTTTGGTGTATATTAGTACTGTGAGATAAATGAATTAACTAGATGTGGAATTTTATTGGGTAACAATTATATGAGTTTTTTGGTGTAGCTTATTGCCAATTACTAGAATAGGACCAGTAGTATTCTTATGGAAGGTAGGACTAGTAGTATTTTTGTCTCATTTAATCTTGTGTTTTATCTACATATAGTCTGGAGTCTCTATTACAATTCCGTCTTTAATAATACAGCAAGCTAATGAGCTCAAAGGGTAATCTCATGCATGATAAGCGAGATCTAGAAAAAGTAAGATGTAAGTAATCTAACGCTTGCACATAGAGAGAGTTTAGTGTGAGTCTTACGATGGAATAATCTATCACGTCAAGACTTGACCTCATTCTTTTCCATCTTCGTAATAATTGTTGCATATAAGCGTCCATGTTCATGCGCACATAAACCTACCTTGTAGCCGCGGCCGAATCTAGCGATGCAAATAGCCATTTAATTTAGACTTTCAGTGTGAGAATTGGAGGGTTTTGGATTATGCATGCACGAGTGAAGACAAGACAACGAAATAAAGGACACAGCTGAACAATAATGGGGTAAGTGAGTGAATGCATGATTGGGGTGTCACCTTACTTTCCGATCCCAAAAGCTATTCTTTTTATTTATTATAAAAGAAAAGCTACTCTTTTTAATGTAAAGCGGAAGCTCGTGCCTTGCTTTTCTCTTTTGGCCCTTCGAAAATATTCAAGTGAAGTAGGCTGTTTTATTGGTCGAATTTTGATCTAAAGTTGATCAAATTAGTCGAGTATGGATTAACTTATTTGATCAACTATTCGTAATTGAGTCAGAATTCGTTATTTAACATTTCAATTATTTGGATTGAATATACTAATATCGGATACGATTGTGATTCAATTTGAATTATATAAATTTAAATATATTGATGAAATTGAGTTAGTATATAGTAGGATTGAGTTGAAGTTCAAAATTTAGTTTGCGTTGAGTTTTTGAATTGGATTGGGTTTATGAGTTGATTGGATTTGCACAGGGTTTATGAAAACAAAATTCATTGGATATCCAAGTCAAGCTTGAATTAAAATTTTAATATCGATTTAGTTTGTTTGGCGTATTTTCGGATTGCGGGCATGCTAAATTTCAGGTAGACTTGAAATCAAAAAATGTACGACCTTAACTACTTGAACCGACATTGAATTCTAAAAATCATGACTGGTCAGGTTACTGTAGAGAGACGTAATGTTACATCTAGGTTCTTTTCTATACCTCCGAGATTCAAAGATTTTAAATAATTTCATCGGTCTAAGATGTGTGAACACTACTGGAA